GCCCGACCTGATCTTCAAGGCATGCTCGGTGACTTCTCTTGGAAGGCCCGACATGTCTGAGGGTCTCCATACAAAGATGTCTCTGTTGGCGCGGAGGAAGTCGACGAGCGCGCTTTCCTATTCGGAGGAAAGTGTGGTGCCAATGCGCACCAATTTGCCCTTGGAGCCGCTGGGGTCTATGAGGACCTCCGTGTTGCCCTCTACAGGCTTGAAAGACCCGGCTAACCACTTGGGGTTGGGCATTTCTTCAACGATCTCCTCCCTGATGGCGCAAGCTCTTTGGAGGCGACAATTGCCATGACGTGTTCACAGCACTCGACCACGCACTCGTAGGCGCGCTGGAAGGAGGTGCCGATGGTGATGACCCCGCATGGACCCAGCATCTTCAACTTCAAATAGGTGTAGTTGGGGTCGGCCATGAACTTCGCATAGCATGGACGTCCTAGGATGGTGTGGTAGGTTCCGTGGAACCCAACCACCTCGAAGGTAGTGGTTTCTGTCCTATAATTGGTCGGATCCTTGAAGGTGATGGGAAGATCGATCTGCCTAAGTGGCATGGCTTGCTTTCCTGGCATGATGCCGTGGAAAGGCGCCCCGGTCGGCCGGACACGTGCTCGGTCGATGCCCATGGCGTCGAGCGTTTCAGCGTACATGATATTGAGGTCGCTGCCTCCATCCATCAGCACTTTGGTGAGCCACTTCATGCCGATGATCGGGTCGACCACGAGCGGATATCTTCCCTGTTGTGGGATGCTTTCTAGGTGGTTGGTCCGATCAAAGGTTATGGTGGACTCAGACCATCAGAGGAAGGTAGGCGCAGGCGGCTCGACCGTATAGACCTCGTGGCGTGCAAGCTTCTAGCGGCGCTTGGAGTCGTAGGCCGCCGATCCTTCGAAGATCATGAGGCTGCCATCCAGCGTCAGAAATCCACCGTCCTTCCCCTCGACATCGTCTGTGGCTGGCTTGGGCTCCTTCCTATGCTCCCCCTTATTGGAGCCTCCAGATAAGAACCGTTTCATAAGGACGCAGTCCTTGTATAGGTGCTTGATGGGAAAAGCATGGTTCGGGCATGGCCCTTCGAGTAGCTTCTCGAAGTGGTCCGGGGTACCCTCGGTGGGCTTCTGACCCCCCTTACGGTCAACGGTGGCCACGAGCGAGCCCTCGCGCCACTGCTTGTTCTTCTTTTTGTTGGGACGGTTGGAGGCGCCTTCGCCTACGTCCTCATCCCGCTTTGCCTTGCCTTTGAGGCAGTCGAAAATCGCCCCGACCGCCTCTTCGCCCGAGGCGTGGCTGGTGGCGATGTCGAAGAGCTCCTTGGTGGTTCGTGGGCCCTTACGTCCTAGCTTGTAAACTAGGGACTCGCATGTGGTCCCAGACAGGAAAGCTCCTATGACGTCGGCATCGACGATGTTGGGCAGCTCGTTGCACTATCGGGAGAAGCGCCGGATGTACCCACGAAGAGTTTCCCTGGACTTTTGTCGACAATTTTTGAGATCCCATGGATTCTTAGGATGTGTGTATGTGCCCTAGAAGTTTCCCTCAAGGATCTCTTTTAGGTCTGCCCAACTTTGGATTCGGTTGGGCGGAAGGTGTTCTAACCACGTTCGCGCCGAATCGGCCAGGAACAATGGAAGGTTGCGGGTAATGAAATCGTCATTATCCGCTCCACCAGTTTGGCAAGCAAGCCAATAATTCTCGAGCCATAGTTCAGGGTTTGTTTCCCCATAGTATTTCGAGATGTTGGTCGGCGGTCGGTACCGCGGTGGGAAGACGGCGTTGAGGATATGTCGGCTAAAGGCCTGAGGTCCCAGCAAGTCAGGGCTTGGGCTTCGGTCCTCGCTGTTGTAGTAGCGTCCACCATGACAAGGGTGGTAGCCACGGCTAGCCTTCTCCCTCGCATCACCGCGGGTACGCCTGTGGGCGTCAAGGGTGTCGCACGTGTCACGGTAGAGACCGAGATGCTCAAGCACCGGGACTGCGGCGCGTGGCCTGTCGCCTTGCTGCGACTGGTGGATTGACACGTCCTTGTTGGGTTGCTCTGAGGGCGATAGCTGGCTGGCGTTGAGCTCGCGTCGTCGGGACAACGAACTCTCAGCCTGTTGCGCCACCGCATGCTCGAGTAGTGTATGAATCTCACGATGGGCCCGACGATTCTTGGGTGTCGTAGGCCCCGGAAGCCCCCGGAGCAAGGCCGCCGCAGCAGCGATATTCTGGCTTGCTCGGGTGAAGTGTGGGAGGGCTTCGTCGTCCTCGATGATCCTTCAGTTCATGTCGTGGGCCACGGCACGCGCACGCCCACCGTCTCTGTGGTGCTCGATCTCTCGCTTGAGCTCCGCGCGTTCCTGCTCGAGGTGGAGTCGTGCTTCCTCGAGCTCTTAGTGTCGGGCCTTTAGCTGCTCTACCCACAGGCTTGGTGGGGCTCCTACATCCCCCTCGACCTCGTCGTCGAAGCCATTCGTTGGGGTAGCCTCTCCCTCGTGGATACTTTCGACGTACCCCTTGGGGGTACCTGCCATGAAACATTCACGAGAGAGGTGATGGCTCCCCCTACTAGAGTCAGAGTTGGAGGGCGACTCCAATTCTCCTGCGAGGAGGTCGTGGAAAGATTCCACGACATATTCAGTCATTCCCATGAACTCGTCGTTCGCGAGGGATGGGGGCGTGCGTTGCGCCACAAGGTGGCCAACGGTCTCTGTGGTGTTGCGTAGACCGAACGGGAGCGCTGTCGGGGCGCTCTGGATGAGGTATTCTGGGGAGAGCGGCTCTCCTCCGGCAAGCTGTGTCATGACGTTGGCGAACGAGAAGGTGAGGCGGCCAAGGCCCTCCCGGGACGGTCGGGGCCCCAGGAAGGCGCCGAGCTGGCGCTTTAGCCTCCCATAATCGAAGCTGAGGAGCTGGTCGCCTCCAGGGGCGTGGGCCTTTAGCACGTGCAACTGTAGCTCCTCAAGCGCCTCGGCAGTCGCATCGAGGCCGGCGGAGTGGAGAGCTTGGACGGCGGCAGGGACTCGCGCCAACTCTCCCTCCATCGGAATCATGAAGTCCAGGTCCTAGAAGCGCACGTGCGCACCCGGGACCCAGCTGACGTCGTGATTAGCCATCCGAGGCCTGATGTGGACGTCGAGACACACAAAAAGCCCCTACCTAGCACGCCAACTGTCGGTGTTTTCGGACCACCGACGAGTAAATTTGTATTTGCGCGTCTGGCTTGGATGGTGTGCTCGAATGACACAAGGGTTTATACTGGTTCGGACGAAATGTCTCTACATCCAGTTTGCTATTGCTCGTGTTACCGACACTTGGTTTGTAGTAGGGGTTACAAACAGGTGAGAGAGGGAAAGGATCCCAAGTCTCTGGTGAAAGGAGTGAACGGGTGCTGAGAGCTCGATCGCTGCTCACCCGTGTGCTCGTGTCGTGCTCTTGTGTTTTTATCTCATGGTTCGGTCTCGTGCGGATCTGGATCCCCCTTCATAGAGCGCTCTGCTTTCCCTTTTATAAGCGAAGGGAAAGTGTGGGTTACAGCGGAGGAAAAGAAGAAGAACGAGAGAGAGAAGAAGGCTTCCAAGATCACCGGGTCCTTCTTCTCCTTCATGGGGGTCCCGCCGATCCTGTAAATGTCAACAGGGACGGCTCCACATCGCGGCCCTGTTCGTCACTAGCGCCATGCGCAAGCATCATCTGCCGGTCATGGCGTTCCATTCCGTCCCGGCGGATGTCGTGGTGAACTGACGGGCCTGTCAGCATTCGTACGAGGGTTAGACAGAACAACACCGACACACCCGGTGCTGTTCTTGATGTGAATCCTCAGGTATGGCCCGTCATGGCCATGGGTTACATCGAGCCGTGCTAGTCTCTTTCCTGATGTCAGAGTTTTGATCCAGGCCCATACGCTTGGACCTAGAGTGGTTGGCGGCGGTATGGGTCCCCGTCGGGCGAGACGGAGTCCGCGGCCTTAGGGTCGGGCGAGATGGAGCATGAACCCAAGGGGTCAGGCGAGACGAAGCCCATGGCCTTGGGTCGGGCGAGACGGAGCCCACGGCCTCAGGGTGGGGCGAGACGGAGCCCGCGGCCTTAGGGTCAGGCAAGTCGGGGTACGAACTCAACGGGTCGGGCGAGACGGAGCACGAACCCAAGAGGTCGGGTGAGACGGAAACCGCGTCCTTAGGGTCGGGCGAGACGGAGCCCGCACCCAAGGGGTCGGGCGAGACCTTTTAATACGTCTTGCTCCATCCGAGGAAGTCAGCGTGGACGCTAACTTTTTTGCTTTAGATATCCCTACTATCGATACCCGACATAAGGATCTATAACATTTCTTTATGTAATCAAACATGTTGAACTAGTATTAGCCTCATGTTAGCCCCCCTTATTTGTTCATCCAAGCTCCGTGCACTGTGTAGCCTGTCGCAAGTACTTCCATATTATGTAATAGAGTGGCTCACGAAATAGCTGCCCATGGGTATGAGTGTGTGCAAGAGAATGAGCAAATTATGAGCTCCCTCCTCGTCCCGGCGTAGATTTGTCAGTTCATGAGTAATAGAGGGTCTGCTTGGTTGGCTATCAATTTTTGCCTAACTAAAATCATGACAAGTCAAAACGTAGACTTGTCTAAACTAGATAGGTGTGCATTTGGTTGAGTGCCATAACAACAATAGGAAACACTTTTTCTCTCTTATAGGATTTATAAGAAGTTTCTAGAGATTTGTCAAAACTTTAGCTATAAATATTGGTATGTCATTTTTTAGTAATAAATCAATTGATGACTAATTTTTTTTGCGTTGACATGATTATGGTTGGCAAGAATTGGAACCGAACAGGGAATTCCTAACTTTTTTTAAAAAAAAACAACAACAACTGCAACAGGTAGCTTGGACACGACGTAATTCTGCAAGAGTGACGTTTTTCCTCTCTCCAGAGTTTAACAAGACAGCGCATCCATGCCGTCCATCGGATCAGATCGCGATTCCCTTTCCTCCTCCCGCGCTAGGGTTTAGCATCGGCCCGCAATGGCGTCCACCACCTCCGCCGCCGCCACCGTCATGCTCGGCGGCAAGGGCGCCACCCTGTCGCCGGCCGCCGTCTACGCGCTGTCCCTCGGCCTCGCCGCCCCGGGCATCGACCCTTCCGCGCAAAAGTCGCTCTCGACCCGCGCGGCCTCGCCGCAGGAGACCCCCGCGCCGCTCGCCGCCGCCATCGCGTCGCTGGCGCCCACCGAGTCCCGCGCCGCCGCGGCGGTGCTGCTGAACAAGCTGGTCCTCACGTCGTCCGACTCCGCCTCCGCGCTTGTCACCGCCGCCACGGCCGCCCGCCTCGCGGGCTCGCTCGACCTCGCCGCCGCGCTGCCGCTGGGCTCCCGCGACGAGGCCGCGGTGGCCGCGGCGTCCGCGCCCGCCGCCGTCGCGCTCGCGGCGCTGATCGACTGCTGCGCCGCGCCGCTGGCCCGCGTCGCCGACGCCGTCGCCGCGCTGTCGTGCGAGGCCGCGCGCGGGGACGCCGCCGCGGCCTTCGACGTGCCGGCCTCCGGCGACGGGCTCTCCGCCAAGGATGAGGCCGACGTCGCCACCGACATCAAGGTCCTCGTCTTCGGCTCCAAGCTTGTCGGCACTGCCGCCGGGGGCGCCCCCACCGCCGCCACGTTCGCCAAGGTGCCCGCCCTGAACGGGATCTTCCGCCAGGCGGTGCGGGCGCTGCACGCCATAGTGCGCATCGAGCTCAACGCGCCCGTGAAATTGGGGAAGAGGGATGCTGGTGAAACCGGTGAGGGAAAGGAGGAGGCATTGGTGGTGCTGGCCACGCAGCTCGCTAGAGCTGTGCAGGCACTGTGCAAGCTGAGCGTCGCCCGGGCAAGGCTTTGTGCGGAGAGCATTGCTGATGCTGAGCTTCGGGAGAAGCTTACTGGTGCTGTTAGCGTCGATGATTTGAAGGGGATGCTTGACAAGGTTTTGATTGATTCAGATGCCGTGTCTGTCTTGAAGGGGGTGTACAACCACTTGCTCAAGTTCAGGGACTTTCTTGCCTGGGAAGCAGCTGTGGTCATGGCAGTAATTGAAGCAGACAGTTCAATTGAGAAACCACAAGCTGCTGCTGAGAATGAAGCAGCCAGTTCAACTGAGAAGCCACAGGCTGGTGGGGACAAAGCAAAGGGCGACAAGAAGAGCAAGAAGAAGAAAACTTTGGGGAAGGGTACTTCTGCTGTTCTGATGCTGCTTAGGGACCATGTGACAAATGGAAGTACTGTTGCTTCCGTGAATTCTGCATTGGTTGCAGAGTGGGCAACCTCTCTCTCATTGCTATTTGATCCCAGATGTCCCGGATTGGAGTCCCTTGTGGAGAAGGTGAAGGAGATTGTTGAGAGCAATGAAGTCAGGAGATTGCCTAAAATTCCTAAGGTGAGAATCATACTATTCGCAGATGGTGCTGTTTTATTTATATGGTTTGATTAGTGGCACTCATCAGATTGTAATGCTGTTCCCTTCCCTCATTTTTCTAAATGTTTATGCTTACTCCTGTTAGGGTACACGTGACTTCGGGAAAGAGCAAATGGCGATAAGGGGGCGAGCATTTTCAATTATAACTAGTGTATTCAAGATGCACGGTGCCACTGCACTTGATACACCTGTATTTGAGCTGAGAGAAACCCTTATGGGCAAATATGGTGAAGACTCAAAGTTGATATATGACCTGGCTGATCAGGTATTGTTTCAGTGTCCTCTGAAATTTATCTTGGTGAACAGGCGTTACTTGGCAGAAAATTCATCAGCCTGTTCGTTTGGCTGTGGCTTGTCGTAAACGATCGTAAATTTCCAGCCGAAACAGTATTTTCTCTCACACAAACCAGCCAGCAGTACTTCTTCACAAACCAGCAACGAAACGAACCAGCCAACCGAAGGCTAATGATATCATTGCCAGTATCTGGGCCACTCAGCCTATTCATTTGTTGCAGTGTTTTCCTTAGATGGTGCCCTCATAATTATGGTTTGATGTCGTACTGTTAAAATAACATGCAGGGTGGTGAGCTTTGCTCTTTGCGGTATGATCTGACTGTTCCATTTGCCCGGTATGTTGCCATGAATAGCATAAGTGCACTGAAGAGATACCAGATAGCGAAAGTATATAGGAGAGATAATCCATCTAAGGGAAGGTACCGAGAATTCTACCAATGTGACTTCGACATTGCTGGTGTATATGAACCTATGGAACCGGATTTTGAGGTCATCAAAGTTTTGACTGAATTGTTGAATCAGCTGGATATAGGCACATATGAGATAAAATTAAATCACAGAAAGTTGCTTGATGGAATGTTGGAGATTTGCGGTGTGCCTCCTCAAAAGTTCAGAACAGTTTGCTCGAGTATTGACAAGCTGGACAAGCAAACATTCGAACAGGTGAAGAAGGAACTGGTAAGCATCTGAATTAATTGGTTTTGGCTGAGGGTTAATTATGTTTTTGTTTTATCATGCCTCCTTAGTGAGTTGTAGATATTTTAACATAGTCCTAACTGTTTTTCGTGTTCAAATTAGGTGGATGAGAAAGGTATATCAAATGAAACTGCAGACGAAATTGGCAATTTAGTGAAGACTAGAGGACCCCCGTTGGAAGTTTTGACGAAGTTGAGAAAGGAGGGCAGCAAGTTTATGAATAATGAAGGGTCTGTTGCTGCACTGAATGAGCTAGAGATATTATTCAAGGCTCTGGATAAAGCAAATGCAATAGACAAGATAGTTTTTGATTTAAGTTTGGCCAGGGGCCTTGATTACTACACTGGTGTCATATATGAAGCCGTTTTCAAGGGTGCGGCTCAGGTTAGAAATAATTACTTATCACTGCACATTGATGTTCAAGTTAATTCTTCAGTACTCTGGATTTTCTTAAAGCATAGTGTTATTATTCATCAACTCAATACATAGCTTTTTTTTTTAAAAAAAAATCTATCCATTGGCAATTGATGTATTCAACATTTGATATGTCTTTTTACTATTTGTCATTGCATACGCAGTTACGCACACCCTTTTTCTAACTTTAACAGAGCTGAAGACCATTTTAGTTGATTCCTGTACTAATCATATTTGGCAACAGGTTGGCTCCATCGCGGCTGGTGGTCGGTATGACAACCTCGTGGGTATGTTTAGCGGAAAGCAAATCCCTGCTGTTGGTGTGAGCCTTGGAATTGAAAGAGTCTTTGCAATCATGGAGCAACAGGAGAAAGAAAGAAATGAGGTAGTTGAGCACTTATCATTTTATCCTTCTTCCAAGGGGACTTGTAGCAACTTAATAAATTTGTTTTGAATTGTAGAAGATCCGGCCTACGGAGACAGAGGTGCTGGTGTCGATTCTAGGAAAGGACCTTACACTAGCTGCCGAGCTGGTCAGCGAGTTGTGGAGTGCTGGGATAAAGGCAGAGTTCAAGCTCACTACCAGGGTGGCGAACCACATCAAGTATGCCTTGCAATCAGGCATTCCGTGGATGGTGCTGGTTGGCGAGTCCGAGTTGCAGAAAGGAACTGTGAAGTTGAAGGATGTTGAAGCCAACCAGGAATACGAGGTTGATAGGAAGGATTTTGTTGAAGAGCTGAAGAATAGATTGAGTAGATCCTAAGGGAAATTTTAGGCATTGATCTTTTGACATCCATTCGAGATAAAATCAATTAGGGTGAGAATGATATTGCAGCATTACAGTTTATACTGATGTGAATGTTTCAGTCGGGTTGGTAAGAGAGCCACTTGTTACGGTCATTGGAATCCCTTGAATCCCAATGCATTATGCTGATGAATCAGGCCGTGGCATATTGTGAATTATATTTTTTGGTGCTTGAAATCAAAAGTTTTTTTCCTCACCTGTAATTTGGAACAGCAACGAAGCCAGCAAGTTTTTTCCCCCATTGCATTTATTATAACCAGGAGTCCAGGACATCAGTATTGCTACTGTTCTTATTCTTGGCCAAGTTGAAACAACCAAAATGGGGAACAATAAGAGAACATTACACCAGCGCACACAGTTTGTGAGTCACTTGGCATCCTTGCAACTTGCATATTCCCCAGCCCTGCTTCGCGGCATCCACGGTGTTCTTGAGCAGCATCGCCACCATCATGGGGCCAGCGCCTCCTGGAACTGGAGTCAGGAAACCGGCGACCTTGCTCACCTCTGCGAAATGTACATCGCCGACAGGTTGGGCAGGGTCATCGTCGACAGAGTCGATGTCAGCATCATGGATGACCACAGCACCTGGCTTGATCAGATCTCCGTTGCCGTTGATCTGAGAACGGCCAAGAAAAGAGCACACAGAGCAAGTGACTCAGTAGTCAGTAAGCACTGGGAGATGGTTTGCACCAAAACTATGAGGATTTTGTTGTGGTAGGGTAGCTGCATGTGTGTACATACCATCACATCCTGCTCAGCTGCTGCACTGACTATGTGCCCAACATCGATGACCGCGGCACCTGGCTTGATCCAATCCCCTTTGATCTGATGACAAACCAAGAACATGCAACCGTGAGCAATGCTGGGTCCTCTGTCTGCAGTTGAGTCACTGGCAGGTGGGTCTGATTTCCGCAGTGGAGCCACTTGCAGCTTGCTCTGATTGTGGTCTGATTGGGCAATCAGACCCAGCTGCCAGTGAACTGCAGAATGTTGTGTGCATCAAACTGTGGACAGGTTCGAGACATACCATCATAGGCTGCCCAGCGGCTGCAATGACTATGTCAGCTTGGCGTACAATGCTTCTTGGGTCAGGGGTCCGTGAGTGCACAATGGATACAGTCGCATCGGCCTTGAGAAGGAGCAGAGACACAGGCAGGCCGACGATGTTGCTGCGGCCAACCACAGCTGCGAGTTTGCCTCTGACAGTGACCCCGCCCCGTGACAGGAGCTCCATGCATGCCTTCAAATCAAAGGGGAAAAAAATCGATTCTAATCGCAAGTGGAATCAGAAAAAAATGGCATACTTTATGGTTATTTGATTTACCATAATATTAGATAATTTAGAAGTTAATTTGATCAGACATTTTAGTTTATATTTTAATAATGCTAGAGAATTGGTAATTTAGACGTGGATTTACAAGGTTGCTTAGATCATATTTTGTAATAGCAGAGGTGAATAATTTACATTATGTTTTAGAATGGTTGAGATGCTAGATGCAAATTTAGGGAGCTTACTTTGTAGCGAGAAGGCTATTTTTGGTCATCCGACTATATTTCGAGTTTGTTTTCATCCTTGAAACTTCAAAACCAGAAACATTTGGCTATCGAATTATCAAAACTAGACAAATTTGGCCATCGAACTAGTTCAAAGGTGGGTTTTTCCTTTTCTGGAAATAAAAAATATCTGGTTTCCTCTCTAATATTCATAAGTGACTCGTTTAAATCAAAACAAATATGGAAATGACATTTTTTTTTCTAAAAAAAACTATTATCTACATGTTCATCTTTACTTGGAATTATTTGTGTCTTATTTGTTCGTGTTCCTAGTATTTTATTGCTTGTAATTGTGCTTTTTATTTAATTTAATTATCTTTTCTGCGTTATATTAGACCGTAAGATCATCTAAGAGAATCCTATGGATGGCTGAGTGCATAGAAAATCTAGAAGATGACACCAACCTCCCTGATGACATGCTCCATTCATAAAGATCCCATTTAAGAATTTTCATGGTTAGAGACTAATTTTATGTTCATCATATGATTAGGTAATAGGTTTCATAACAACAAGGGGCTCAAACATCTTTCGATCAACTAATGATGCAAACAACATAAAGGAAATGATGAAATGACGATTTAAATAAATAATAGGCACAACTGCGAGCAACAAAACACTAGAAATAGAAACAAGTAAGATTATGCAAATAGAGCACTGACAATAAATTATATCTTGAGAAAAAAATCTGGCACTAGTTTTATAATTTAAAGTGAATTTCACTTGTGAAATTTTAGAGATCAAACCAGATTTTATTGTCGTTATTTAGGAAATGGAAATACCTTTGAAACTAGCTAGATGCCAGATTTGTCCTTTTTTGCTACTTTGTTGGCCCAAGATTCCTAGTTTTGGAGTTTTATGAGGAAAATAAACTCAATCAATAATTTGATGACCAAAGTAGGACTTACCCCTACTTTATATTATCTTTTATAATGACATACAATTTACATGCGAATTTAGGGGCTAATTTATCTTTCATAGTGACACCGGTGAGTAATTTAGATGTAGATATAGGGTGTTGCTTTATATTATTTTTCATAATGGCAAAATATGCGCATTTTTATAGAAAACAAATGGATTGAATCATTGTTTTTGTCAATCATATTTGAGACTACCTTGATAGCTGTTGATGTTTCTGATTTATATGAAAATTGCTAAGAATTGTTTCTAGCATGTTTCTTGTGGATTTACGTGGACGACTCTGTTTGGGGCCTTCATTAATAATAATAGCAATATACCTTTGCTATACATGGTATGAATAGCGGTTCTCTGCCTTTCATTGCAAGCTTGCCAATATTGAGAGGATGAAACCCTTCAACATCTTTCTCAACACGGATCTCATTTAGTATCTTCTGATCATTGATATGCTTAGGCAATGGAAGTTGGACAAAGATGCCTGGAATGATAGCACATAGTTGCAAAGTCAATAAGTTTCCTTCATAATTTGGAACAAGGATTTGATTCTTTTGCATTCAAACAATAAGTATTAAATATAGGTAGAATAGACACGAATCAGTCAATCGAAACGAGATGCATGTGGCTTGTACTAACATCAGTGCAAACTAATGATGTAGGCTTTCAAGGAACTGAAGGGGAACTTAACTTGTTGGCTTTCTAGGAACCCAAGAGGAGCTAGACACAACTTCATTTAAAAAAAAACTACTCCACATTGGATAATACACGTCTATTGATGGTTATGGAAAAACAAGCTAATGAACTAGCTCAATTTCAAAATATAAAATGAATTTAAACATCCATTGAGTCTACGACCACATCCTTTTGTAATTGGGGGCTCCACCAAATCACTTAGTATCCTCATTGATTGCTCATCTGTTTGTCAACTTGATAAATCTCATTAGTTCTCTAATTATGTGGTTATTATCACCAAAAGTCACATCCAAAGTAGTTCCAAAACTTACATGCCGAGCTAATCCACTAAACCATCGGACACCACGCACCCATTTATTACTCGCCTATGTCCTATTTTGAAAGTGCATCTAGCCTCTAAGTGGATTTTGGTGGATTAAATGACAACACAATTAAGGGACTAATGTGTTACATGAGACTTGCAGGTATTCACAGGTATTTAGTCCTAAGTGTGTTGTATTATATTTGGGCTCAAATATAGCACATGGCATACAAATCAGAAATGAGCCCGAGGCATATTATCAAAATAATTTGACAAGCTTATATGCATCAATTATAAATGAGACATAGAGGTTTGAATATGGAATGGTTTCACTCTTGAAGCTTGATCAATCAAAATCAAAATGATGAAGACATCAATACAAATGAAATAGATATATTATGAGCTTAATTGTTGATTCAAAGCAAGATGTGACTTGATGACTTGAGAAGGTGAAGATAGCAAAGAAATGCTTCGAGGTACTAAGCAAAGATGAAGGGCAAGCGACTGCTTAGCGGCTGAAGAACCTAGCTAAGGTGAAGAAGAAAGTACTTGCATTTAGTCGAGGCACTAATCAAGCTTTGGAGGTCATGTTGATGTGAAGGATCAAATAATTGAAAAGAGTGACTTTGATTGATATATGGAATCTTGATCAAATGGTTTGATTAATTCAGAGTCACACCTCAAGGAAACTCAACTCGATACATGGATGGTGTTGGAAGCCCTCAAATGATCAAAATTATGGAAGCAGCATTTATTCGAAGGATGACAAACTCAAGTGGGATTAATTATCAATTTCTATTTCTTGACTTTAGACATGCCGTCCTATCAAGAGGGATGCAACACAATATATTATAAACCTAGAAGTGCTCAAAACAAACCCAAGGTGAAAAACCTGAATTTTGGAGAGAGAGAGAGAGAGAGAGAGAGAGAGAGAGAGTTTTGGAGGTGTGCAGTGCTGTAGAACCGGCCAGGCCGGTTCCTAAACCGTCCAGGCCAGTTTGGCTGTCCTCCAACGGCTAGTTGGTCTGTAGAACTAGCCAGGCCAGTTCCCACATTGGCTAGGCCGGTTTTGACTGACCAGGCAACCCAACGGCTAGATTTTGGGAGTTTGATATTTAAACTCTCTTCCACTGCCTTGGGCTAGATGCTGAAGCTTTTCCACATCCATAACAACTAGCAAAGCCTACAGAGATCTTCCAATTCACCTTTTGTGGGATTCGAGTGCATTTAGACACATCCATTGAATTGGAGAGCAAATTGAGACTTGTGAGATTGTGTGTGTGGGCAAAATCTGAGTTGAGCAACCCTTGAGCACTTTTGGTGACAGCTAGTTCATGTGAGGCATTTGTCACTCTTGGAGCTTTGCTCCTAGGCAGCCTTAGTAGTCACCGGTGAGTCACCAAGTGTGGTGCACGGCCGGAAGTTTGTAAGGGCTAGTCTTCCCACTGAAAAAGGAAATAAGACTCCTTAGTGGAAAGGTGGAAAGAGGTCGTTTTGGACCCGGCCACGAGTTGACCTTTGTTGGATCCTCACCAGCTTCCACAATGGAGACGTACGGCTCATTTTGGTGAGGCCCGAACTTGGGTCAAACAAATCGCTGCGTCTCCTTTGTTTGGTTTGGCTCACTCTCATTTTTCATTATATTTATCTCATATCTTGTGAGCCACCATTTGTGTCTACTCGGTTGTTGTGTTTTTGGTTGCAGAAACATATTCTGCAAGGCAAACTTGTACCAAACATATCCCTCAACACTTGGTTTTACTTGAGGGGAAGAAAAGGAGGCAAAAATCAGCATCTAACATATTTGCTGTAGGGTCCCCAAGGAAACCGGCCAGCCCGATTCTACACAGGGAGCAGGCAAACTGACTAGGCCGGTTCTAGCACAGCAAGCAGCCAAACTGGCTAGATCGGTTCTGCAGTGCCCAGTTACAATTGTTTTGTATTTTTGCATGTCGAATTTTTATAAATAGCCTATTCACCCCACTCTAGGCATCATTTAGATTCTTTCATATTTTGATCTATTAATTTTTAACACTTGTGATACCATGTTTGGATCCATATGACTAACAAGTAGCTGAATAATTTTTAGACTCCAAGGATCCAAACAAGTAGCCTAATAGCTAGGCTATTTGTTGTTATTCAAGCCTCCAACTAGTTGTCAGTCCATTAGTTGTCCAAACCCAACTAATTGGGACTAATAGGAGCAACCATTCCCGGAAAAGTCTAAAACATCCCTCCCTCGTGTGCTAGGGACCAAGGGGCATAAACGTCTTTTATGTGGGAATAGTACTATCTATTAGTCCCTTGGATCCAAACAACACAGACTAAACTTTAGTTAGCTAATTAGTAGGGGGTGTTTGGGACTGCTCCGCTCCACGTTTTTTTAACTCATCTTCATGTTTTTTAGCCAAACGCTTTCTGCTCCATGCACTCTGTTAGAAGAAAAATAGTGGAGTTGTGAGAGCACCTAAAGAGGTACTCCACAAACTTCTATTTTTTGTGGAGCTGCTCCACCGCGGAGTTTGTGGAGCGGTCTCAAACACCCAGTCAGCTAACAATTAGCTCTAGCTAATAATCAACTGATAATTAGGGGTTATTTGGATCAGCCAGGACTAGTATAGGGGCTAAAAATTAACCTACCTATTATAGCTTCGCAAAAAAAACCTACTTATTATTATAGGACTAATTTTGGTTAAATTTAGCTGACTAACAGTCCAAACAAGTCCTTCTCCATCAAACAGGATCTTAACCTTCACATTCCTAATTTCTACTAGTCACTA